CCAATTAAAAAAAAAAAAAAAAAGTGTTTATTTTCCCCCAAATGTATGCAAGTGCAATAACACTGGAGATCACCTTTAATGAGTTAAGGGACAATGGTTGTGAGACTGGTCCAGGTGATGTGATTGAGCAAAGTCTAGAGGGGGTACTTGAAGAAAAGAAAATCTGGCACATATTTTGAGAGTAATTGCATCTTTTAGTTAACAGGGAAAATAAAGCTACGAACACTTATAGATTTAATAACAACAGTCTTCAGAATCACATCAAGAGGACCTCGGTTAGAAAAGGTTCAGCAGCACAGGCTGAGGACAGATTCTATGTCACATTTTGTATAGTAGTGGCATTCCAGTTGGCGGTTGATTCTATCTGCCCTCAGCACATGAAGACATCTAAATATACAGTGGGGCAAAAAAGTATTTAGTCAGCCACCAATTGTGCAAGTTCTCCCACTTAAAAAGATGAGAAAGGCCTGTAATTTTCATCCTAGGTATACCTCAACTATGAGAGACAAAATGAGAAAAAGAAAATCCAGAAAATCGCATTGTCGGATTTTTAAAGACTTTATTTGCAAATTATGGTGGAAAATAAGTATTTGGTCAATAACAAAAGCTCATCTCAATACTTTGTTATATACCCTTTGTTGGCAATGACAGAGGTCAAACGTTTTCTGTAAGTCTTCACAAGGTTTTCACACACTGTTGCTGGTATTTTGGCCCATTCCTCCATGCAGATCTCCTCTAGAGCAGTGATGTTTTGGCGCTGTCGCTGGGCAACACGGACTTTCACCTCCCTCCAAAGATTTTCTATGGGGTTGAGATCTGGAGACTGGCTAGGCCACTCCAGGACCTTGAAATGCTTCTTACGAAGCCACTCCTTCGTTGCCCGGGCGGTGTGTTTGGGATCATTGTCATGCTGAAAGACCCAGCCACGTTTCATGAAGATGAAACGTGGCTGGGTCTTTCAGCATGACAATGATCCCAAACACACCGCCCGGGCAACGAAGGAGTGGCTTCGTAAGAAGCATTTCAAGGTCCTGGAGTNACCTCTGTGCTGCAGGTGGTGTGTGTGGGCTCCTTCTCCCAGACGCTGCGCCGCTACACCAGTCTGAACCACCTGGCCCAGGCCGCCCGCGCCGTGCTGCAGAACACCGCCCAGATCAACCAGATGCTCTCAGACCTGAACCGGGTGGACTTTACTAACGTGCAGGTTAGTGCCAGTTACAACTGCACACGAGTGTTTTAGTTTTTTTATCACTTTACTTTTTATTATATAAAATCATTACAACAGCAGCTGTGCACGTACATGACAACCCAAACAAAATAATGAATGCAATCCATGGAGGATCTTTACTTGCAGCGGCTCAGGAAGAAAGCCCTCAGGATTACAAAAGACCCCCATCACCCCAGCCACAAACTGTTCTGTCTGCTGCCGTCTGGCAGGCGGTACCACAGCATCAGGGCAAAGACCTCCAGACTCAGGGACAGTTTCATACCACAGGCCATACGACTATTAAACACCTGAACTTAGAAACAACATCCATAACATTCATCTGGCTGCTACTTAGAAATATGATATATTAGATAAATGATTCCTATCACTTGTACTATTTCACTATTTCACTTTTTTTACTATTTTTCCTTTTGTATTTACTATTTACTTGCACTATTTGTTTCTGTTTATCAGTTTTATTGTGTTGCACTGTTGGAGGAGCATGTGACATAAGATTTTCATCGTCATAACTACACTGTAGCTATGCACGCATGACTAATAAAAGCCTTGAACCTTGAATACAGCTATAGATAGAAATACAGAGATAATATAAAATAAAATAAAAATGCAGTCGGGAGTCACATTCTCATCTTGAACATTGACCATTTCTCCCATTTCTCTTCATATTGTGTTTCTTGCCGTCTCAGTCGATATTCCATTATGTGAATTTCCTCCACGATCTCCTTCCATTGTTCCATAGTAGGAGGCTCCACCTTGCACCATTTCCTAGTTATGGCCTTCTTGCCAGCTATCAACAGTATTTTTACAAAATATCTATCTATGTAGTGAACATTTCCCTCTGTGAAATTGCCCAGATAGAGTACCATCCATAGGAACCTCATATCTCAGTATCTTTCGCAAAACCTTGTGTACCGATTCCCAGAACTTGAGCATTTTTTGGGTATTTCCAAAATATGTGTGCATGGTTGTGAGACAGCAGTGTAACCCTCCCCCCCTCTCAGGAGCAGGCTTCCTGGGTGTGTCAGTGTGGAGACAGCGTGGTGCAGCGGCTGGAGCAGGACTTCAAAGTGACGCTACAGCAGCAGAACTCTCTGGAGCAGTGGGCCTCGTGGCTGGACGGGGTGGTCACCGAGGCCCTGAAGCCCTACGAGCAGAACCCCAGCGCCCTGCCCAAGGCTGCCAAGGTGTTCCTGCTCAACTGGTCCTTTTACAGGTGAGGGGGGGACAAAACGTGATATTACATTACATTTAGCTGACGCTTTTATCCAAAGCGACTTACAATTACAGGTACATTCTCCCTGGAGTAACTGAGGGCTAAGTGCCTTACTCAAGGGCACACTAGTGGTGGTGTTCCAGGAGGGATTTGAACTCACAACCTTCTGATCTTCAGCCCACCTCACTATCCATTAGACCACCACAATCCATTATGGGACTTGTTTGACGTAACATGAGTGTGGGGAGTGACGTAAAATTTACACATAATTATTCGGTGTTTTAATTTCCTTTCAAACTGTGAAAATTTTAATTGGAAACATAAAATAACATCCATCAAATAACATAAATATAAACACTAATAAGATATCTATGAGATCCTAACTAATATAGACAGAAGAAACTATACATATTTACAAATGCACAATCCATAAATACTATAATTTGCGTCATTACCGAACAATAGTATAGACGACACTGAGGTCAAACCCTAACTTAATGTAAACTAGCATAGATTAGAAGTAATGAGAACTAGTTCAGTT